GTAGGAATGTCAAAATTTGCTGGATGGAGGCTTGGTATGGGTCAAAGGATTTCCTTTGAGAGAAGGTCTGGCAAGTGTTCCATTGGAGGCGCCGGAGTGTCTCCTGTCTGGCCGTAGTGCTGCATCTAAAACGGACTGGATGGAGCTGTAGGTCCTGCTCTATTTGCTGATCCTCCAGTGATGTCTAGTCTCCACGGGAGGTGGATGAACTTGTGGTTCAACATGTGGAGGAGGTGGGTGAGCCATGGCTGACAGAGCCACCCTGGGGTCACTAGGATGCAGCTGGTGCTGCCCCAGTGGACTCTGGCCAGCACTCTGGTTATTACAGGAAAACAAGGGAAAGGCGGAAGAGCATTCCATGCCACGGTCGAAGAAACGTACCACCAATGAGACTTGGCCAATCCTGCCATGGGAACAGAAGGCTTTGCACACTGTGTTCATCAGCATCATGAACAGGCCCATGGATGGGCCCCCCGGGATTCAAAGAGGCTGCATGGGATGACCAGGGGACGTTCCCGTTTGTGGGTTTCTTGTGGCTTTCTCCTCAGGGTATCCACTGTAACGCTGGCTCTTCCAGCCAGGAGGATGGCCATGAGAATGATGCCTCAAGCTATATGTTTGTAATGTGTGTTGAGTCAGGGAAGCTGACTGGGTGCTGCCCTGTTTTTTCAGAAAGAACTTCCCTGTGATGTTGCCCGATGCTATCTGAACATGGCTGCCTTCAAGGAGCCGCTGGAACACAAACAGCGCTTTCTGAACCGCTGGCAGTTCAAGGCAATTGATATGGCTGACTTGGTCCTTGGGTCTCGCCACCCGTACGGTGTGCTCCCCAGCCTAATCTGGTTGCGCCTGTTGTCAGAGAAACAGGACTGCAAAAGCAAGCCTCCTCACCAGGTTGTGCTTGTTGGATCGCCAAGAGAGGGTTGTTCAACTGCCATGAACTTGTTCAACAGTTGTGTTGAGGGTGACAGGCTCCGACAAGTCATAGCTGTAAATGCTGCATCCATGACCTTGCAAACTGAACAATGGTGACACCCCCAGCCCTGTGGCCGCGGTGTCACCGAACAGTCACGCTGGGCTTGAGCTGGAGATGGGAGAGCTGAGGTGATTATGGGGCGACTAGAAGCCAATTGTCCAAATGCAGGAAAACTCAGATCCAGAGATGTGCACAGACCATGGCCGTGGATTTGGTGAACCAGTGGGGGCACGGAGAGGCTGAATGGTACGACTGAGCATCCGAATGCCTCGGTCCTGATCTGGCACCTGAGGAAGGGATGGCAGTCCAGGTGGACGGACACATGAAAGAAATATGCATCTTTCAAATCGACTGATGTGAACCAGTGCCCTTGGTGCAGTAGTGGGAGAAGATTTTGTAGGGAGACCATGCAAGGCTACGATGGCACAGAGACTGCCCTTCTTCTTCGGAACGGTGAAATACGGAGAGCAGAAGCCACAATGTGGATCAAACGGGGGGAAAGGATGGATTGCTCCTTTCAACCATTGTATGTGGACCTTTTCCACCAATGCAGGGGAAGGTGGTGTTGCTCATACGGCCCCGAGAGGTGAAAGGGTGTCGAATTCAATGCAGTGTCCACCCTCCTGCAACGGAGAGAACCCACCGATCTGAAGTTATGGCTTCCCGTTTGGGAAGACAGCCGTTAAGGCAGCCTTCAAACCATAGCGGTGCCAAAGGAGGTGGACTGGTTTGCGCAAGGAGCCAACCGCACCGTCTCTCGGTATCCGTGCATTTTTTGGCAGTTTGGTGGAACTGGGAGGTGTCCTGCCAGCACTGCTGGGGCGGTGGAGGTTGGAGGAGAGGTGGAAATGGCTTCGCCAGAAAGAAGATGGGCCTCAAGGCCAGTAACATGCTCCGGATGGTTGAGCTGGAATGGAGCCCATCCTCCTTGCTGTGGCCCAGGCCTTCTGGATGGAGCCAAGCTTCTTATCACTCCACACACAGAAGAGTCCTCTCCCATCAAAGGGCAGTTCCCGATGTGGACCGTGCCTCCGGCGAGAGACTTGCTGCCCAGAGCCAGGCACGCCTCTGCATTGCCAACACATGCCGCGAGTCACAGTCAGCGCGGTGGCACGTGTTGCCTGAAGAGTCAAAGGACCTCCAACTGGGATACCCTAGCCAATCCCTGGCGTTGCTTGACCAGAGCTTCCATCTTCTCCCAAAGAAAGACATGGTATCTCCCCACAGTCACCTCTTAGTTCAAGATGCAGAGGCCAAGTCCCGTCACCACATAGTCCTTCCTGGCCACCACACTGAGGTGCCGCCTGTGTTGGTTCCCAGGGTGGTGTGCTCCCACCCTGATCATCCCTGCAGTGACTTTTAATGTTGGAATTCAGCCACTGATGGTGCAGCAGGGCCTGGATGTGCCTCTTCTGAACCCGTTACAGGCTCTCCAAATGGCGGGGCGCTGACTGTGGCTGTGCCGTGGCCTTCTGCAGTCCCTTCATGGAGCGAGAGAGCATGGGAGGCATGGAATGGACACTGCTGCAACCTCAGATGACATCACAGACTGGAACTACTGCAGACTCGGTGAGCTGCCGGGTCTCCAGCCCAAGCGACATCGCCATTCAGAGGACCTGTTTGGAGAACCTTCCCAGGTCCTTGGAAGAGGATCCCAGATCTTGAGATGAGATCGTGTCTTCTCAAGATATTGCTACTGCGTCATCATAGAGTGGAGGTAGATCAGCAGGGTCTGAAGATGAAGAAAGGCTAGATGGAAAAGAAGTATGATTTGACAGGATGGTGGGTAGACACAAGCTGGAAGCTGGAAGGCTAGAACCACAGCAGGATGGCAAGCTGGCGATGGAGCAGCTGGGACTGGTGAAGGAATCAGAGGCGCTGGGCCCCACAGTTCTGCTGAGTGCTGTGCAGACAGCTTCCACTGATAGCAGCACACTGATCGCCTCCACTCCCATGAGTAGCCAGGATGATATGATCCGATTGGTGGGGGTGGGGTCCAGTAGAAATCCTGGTCCCAGGTCAGTAGAGGGGACCTAGCCCATTCCACTGATTGACGGATGGAACCCTGGGATGGAACAGGTGAGGCGGCTTCATACGGAGGCCCAGTGGCTGAGCAGGAGAGTGGCCTGAACGGTTGTTGGTTTCAGTGTGATGGACTGATGGATCCAAGCAGAGAGAGAGGCGGTGGACTGGCCTGCATACAAGGTGGTGTATCCTGTCTCTTCCCCTCAGAGGAGTGGGATGCTGTTGGTTCTGCTCGCACCATCGGGCCCAAAAGAGAGAGGGGCTGGTGTGGGGAGTGGCAGTGGTGTTAGAGGTGAGACTGGCTGTGGAGCCAGCATCGATGTGGCAGCTGGGGCTGCTGGCAGAACGGGCAACTGAATGCACACTAACAGTGCCAATCATGAGCGAGGACTAGCCCATTTTGGGGACTTTTCTCTACCCTTTTTGGGCGCCACGTTAAGGCCATCTGCAATTTTGTGGGACTTTTTAGTCCACTTCTTGGACTTCTTCTCATTGTGTCGGCATTTGGTTTTGTGGGAACTGAAGAGGTGGCTGGTGGAGTCCCAGCAGCTGCTGATGGAGCACGAGGAGGAGCAGAAGCCCAGGAAGTCGATGGGCCATCCTGAGGCACTGCGTGACTGGACAGCTATAAGGGCGCAGCTCCACATCTTGGTCTTAAGGCGCCCCACACGACTCTTGCAGGCCGGCCAGGTGAAGGCCTGGCAGTGGAGGCAAGAATTCACCTGCGGGCCTTTGCTGGGACAAGAGAGGCAAAGAGAATGCCTGTGAGCGGCCGGAGGGCGTTTATGTGCCACAGTAGATACATTCCAGAAAGCTGCCTTGAGGGCCACAGGGGAAAGGTAGAAAGAGAAGGGTAAGTGGAAAAGAGATAACAACACAAGAGCGTCTTTGGGAAAGGGGGGCATTGGATAAATGGTAGGTAAAAAATGGGAAAGAAATTGAAAGAGATCGGTAAATATAGTAAGTTAAGGAAGTATTAGATTAGAAAGTGCTAGAAGCTGAGGCAAATGCAAAGAGATAGGAACTCCAGACACTAAAAACGGCAGTCGGGGGGGGGGGGTGCTCCTGCCACTCCCCCAAAATTGAGCTTAGCGAGGGAAGTCTTTCTGACTACAGGCATCATGCAGGGACAGAGTCCACATGTATGATGCGCAGAGATCATGGAGAAGCGCTCTCGTGTCGCAGGCCTGCAGTGTGGGATATTTAACAGGACGGGGTGAACCGGAGCAAGACCAACCCTTCCCGCCTCTGCCCCAGTCTTAAGAAAAGCTGTCCCTCTCCTGCCGCAGGGCTGTTATCTCTGGAAAAGGAACTCCCATTAGTGCCAATGAGTGCTTTCCACCTGGGAACAACAACGAAGGAAGAGGTGGGAGGCAACAGGGAAGAGGAGGAAGCGCAAGGAGCGCCTCGTGTTCCCAGTGAAGCAAGAGTGAGAGGGCCGCCCACGCCGTTAACTTGGGCCAGCACTGCAGTGCATTAAGTAGCACATGAAGCACCAGGCCTGGCTTGGTTCCGAGCCGGGGGAAGTCTCCTTGGGAGCAGTTGCGGCCCTTCGCCCGTCTGTCTTTGGCTGCAAATAATGGCGCTGGGAGTGGGCTGCTGACCTTGGCTGGCAACCTGCCGTTCTAACAGCCGGCCTACGGGGTGATGAACACCGTGTGCTGCAGCCCCGGAGGACTGCAGGCAATGCCGGACACGGACACAAACACGCAAAGCGTGCCCCGAGAGAGCAGCATTCCCAGTTCCACTGCACCACAAACATTGCCTCCCTCCACGTATTCACCGTGCATGCGCGTGCGTGTAACTAGCTTCCTCCCCCCAGGAGGAGGGACTTTGGTAGGTCTTCAGCAGGGAAGAAGTTCAGTTTGGTGCAAACTGAGATGTTCTGTGGGGAAACACTCGTCTCGAAAGGAAAGGAGGGAAGGGAAGAGGCCCACCCACCACTCCCAGCCCACATCCACCAGGCAGCCCTCCCAAAGCAGACAAGGGGACGCCTTACGTTCGCACTCTGCCACATCCAGGTTGAACTGCTGCAAGGCCCCCAGCGAGAGCTGCCGCACTTCGGCTTCCAGGAGCAGCTGCATCAGTGAGGTAGACAAGTGCTTGCAGGCAGACATGCAGGCCGTCTGAGCCACCTTGCCCTGGAAGACAAATGGGAAGCCACCAAGGGGACCGTCAGGGAGAGCTCAGCACAGGGACACCGAGAGCGCAGAGAAAGGAGGGGCGAGGAATAAGGAGGGCCTGCCAACTGCAGCACAGGGGCGCTCGTCCACTTATCTGCTGCTCGTCTCAGCCTCCCTTTAGGAGGGCAGTCTTCCTAAGGCGGCTTGCCATATAAGCCATCCGTTATTCACTGAAATTTAAAATCCAGGTTAAGCAACAAGTACTGGCGGAGGCATCCCAGCTCCTGCCGCTGCCTGCGCTGCCCAGGCAGTAACCAGTCCAGAAGGACCTCCGAGCTACGAACGGAGCTCTGCAGGGAAGGCGTCGCCCTTTCCACAGCAGCTGAACCCCCCTGATCAGCAGGGCTCTCGCACCAAGTACATCCGTGTTGTTCAGAAGCATCATCAACCTGCTCACCCTTGTTCACCCCAAAATCAGTCCCACCACGTGTGAAAAACTGAGGGGGAGCTACTTGGCAGTGATGTTCTGAGGATGCTGCAGCCAAAACCTTCACGAGTTTCATGCAACTGTTAAATAGGCAACAACGTGGGACCTCACGGCATTCCGGAGGCCAAAGGACATAGAGCAACGTGGCCCTGCCACCGCCCAGCACTACCTTCTGAAATTGATCCAGCAGGTTGGACTGGATCCACCATGAAACTGTTCTCCTAAACCTACCCTGATCGGGAGATAGACAGGTTGCTTTCAATGGTTATCTTTGCATTCACACATGGTGGCTCTGCACCTGCATGAAGCCGCAACTCAGGAAGTTTCTACAGCTGAGGAATTCTGGTGGGAGCCCTTCCCCACCATATACTGCGAGCTCGTTCCACCTGTTCCCTCAGTTCATTGAGACTGGCAATTGAGGTCTTGCAACCAAGAGGGAGTTAATACTGGTAGTCCACTCAGGTCTGAACATTTATGCTAAATAAATGAGCATGGTTTTGACCACACGGCAACTCAACACAATTCAGTCTGTAAGGCATCTCAAGCAAATACCATGGATGTAGCATTTGAGTGCATGGAGTGGGCTCATACCAGAGCACCCAACTTACGATCTGCCGGGTGTATGGTAGCTTTAATGTCTGAACAACCTAAGATGAAAGTGGCCAAAATGAGACTGATGCTCTCTTGTTCCATTCTCCGTAACAGATGAAGGGACACAGTGACTTTTGAAATGCCTCATAAAAGTAAAGGACCAGTGTAACATGGAAGGTACACATTGTCATCTCCAGAAGCAGTGGGTGAAGAGAAGGCGGCAGGCAGAATGATGTCTTTCAGATGAAAGCTGGACACTATTGCAGGTAAGGAGACATTCGGGATAGAATGTCCTTTTCTTTGTGAAAAGTTAGATATGGAGGGTCCAGGTGTAGAGCACAGCTAGAATGGTGAGCTGGCGTATTAGCAACCAAGAAGGGTGGTTTCCACAAAAGAAGCTTCAGATCTCTAACAGCAATGGGTTGAAGGAATTTCCCAGGGAGCACTTTCAACACCACGGAGAGGTTCCAACGCAGAACAAGAAGTCTTACGGGGGGAGCAATGCTACAAACTTCCTGAAGAAACAGCTTAACCGTTGGGTGCAAGAGACCTGGAAAACTGTCTGTTGAAGCGTATTGGGTACATACAGTAGCTAAATAAACTCAGAGAGGAGAAAAGTCCTAATCTCTTTGAGTTAATGATAGGAGGACATTTAAAATATGTAGAACAGAATGTACAGAAGGATCCACTCCTCTGGATAACATGAAAGAAAAGAAGGCTTTCCATTTTAGTTTTCTGAATAGCAAGCCCTGGTTGAATTTTGGGTTCAACCGTAGGCAAGTGCGGGTCTAATGAAGCCTCTGCACCATTGGGAATAGCATCCTCAAGTCCAGGTGTTGGATTCAACCTCAATGCTGGACAGTTAATAGAGGCAGTTTGGAGGGAAGACGGAGATACTCTCCTTTTGAGCAACACAGAAGGGGGCAAAAGGGCTGACATGGCTACCAAGGATCAATTCAGTCTGTACGGCCCCCCTGCATTTTCACAAGGACTTTCACAGTTTTATTTGTATTTATATGCCACCCTATAGCACAAGGGCTCTCTGGACAGCTTGCAATAAAAGCATGAAAAGACAACAAAAGAGTAAAATCAAGTGTACAAGGATGAAATCCATCAAAAATATAAAATCAGATATTCATGGTAGAAGAAGCAAGCAGCATTAAGTTCTGGCATTATGAGCATCTTAATTATGGCATCATGAGCACTGGCTTAAGAAATGTTCTGTATAAATATTATTACAATTACTTTTTATTTTAATTTAGGTCACAATATATTTTAATGTATTAAATTATCCCTGTAGATTTTTAAACATGGTGAGCAGATATTGATAGCTATAATAGATAGCAACAGCAACATTTGACTGGAATTAATAAGAGTTGGGGGGGGCAGGCACAATATGATCAGATTCATTGTGCCCGTCTGTTAGGAAATGTGTGCTTAGACAGGCGGTGGGCTCTCCCACAGCGGAGACATCCAAAAAGAAACCGGACAGCCATTTGAGTGGGATGGTTCGACTTGGTGTCCTGCAACAGCAGGGGTTGGACCCGAGGGCCTTCTTGGCTCCTTCCAACTCCACTCTTCTATGATTCTATGGAATGTTGTCACGTTCGATATTTTTGGTGTCTTGTCTTGCTCAGTCGCAAAGTCGTCCCTGACTCTTTGCGACTCTAAGGACTGCAGCACGCCAGGCTCTCCTGCCCCCCGGAAGCCCACCCAGCCCCACATGCACCACACAAGTGCCTCCATCCAGCCACCTCAACCCTGCCACCCCCTCCTCCTCCTGCCTGCAATCGTTCCCAGCATCAGAGTCTTTCCCAAGGAGTTCTTCCTTCTCGTTATGGGGGCAAAGTATTTGAACTTCACTTCAGTATCTGACCTTCCAGAGAACAGTCAGGGTTGATTTCCTTTATGATTGACTGATTTGATCTCTATGCAGTTCAAGGGACTCTCAGGAGTCTCCTCCAGCACCGCAATTCAAAGGCCTCAATCCTTTTGCGCTCAGCCTTCCTTATGGTCCACCTCTCACAGCCATACATTGCAACTGGGAAAACCATAGCCTTGGCTATACGCACTTTTGTTGGCAAGGTGATATCTCTGCTTTTCAGTATGCTGTCTGGATTTGTCGTAGCTTTCCTCCCAAGGAGCAAGCGTCTTTTAATTTCTTGGCTGCAGTCACTGTCTGCGGTGATCTTGGAGCCCAAGAAAATAAAATCTGTCACTACTCCCATTTCTTCTATTTGCCAGGAAGTGATAGAACCAAATGCCATGATCTTCATTTTCTTAATGTTGAATTTCAAGTCAACTTTTGCACTCTCCTCTTTCACCCTCATCAAGAGGCTCTTTAATTCCTCTTCACTTTCTGCCATAAGAGTGGTATTGTTTGCATATCTGAGGTTGTTGGTATTTCTCTCAGCAAACTTAATTCTGGCTTGTGATTCATCTAGCCTGGCCTTTTGCATGACGTGCTCCGCATGTAAGTTAATAAGCAGGGCAATATACAGCCTTGCCGAACTCCTTTCCCAGTTGTGAACCAATCAGTTGCTCCATGTTCAGCTCTAACTCTTGCCCCTTGAACCACACACAGGTTTCTCAGGAGATGAATAAGATGGCCTGGTACCCCCATCTCTTTGAGAACTTGCCACAATTTGTTGTGATCCACACAATCAAAGGATTTAGTGTATTCAGTGAAGCAGAAGTAGATGTAGAGGAGTAGAAGCAGAGGAAGTAGAAGTAGAGGAACTGGTATGAGCTCTAATTTCATTCATTCATTCATTCATTTAAGCTTTTCTATACCCTTTGTTAGCACAAGCTCTCAAAACAGTGCACAATAAAACCATATAAAACACTAAATAATACCAACAATAATTTGAAGTCAATAGCACATCCAAAGTTCAAACATGACGTTTCCAGGCTGATATAGGTCCAGGGCTCGGAGCACTCTCGTCATGCATCAAGGAGTTTGTTTCTTGACTGTGCAACCAACAGCCAGTCATAAAGGTATGCGTAGACCAGTGTGTCCTAGGTACGAGGAAGGGCACCGACAATCTCGTCTTCGGTGAAGATTCCTGGACCTGTTCCCAGGCTGGACGGATGCACACAGAACTGATACATGTCTGAACCCACTTGTGAGATTTAGGGTCACAATATGAGCTATGTACCTTTGAAATCTATGGAAAGAAACTCTGGGCCTGTATATAAAAGGTATAACGTTGGGGACAACATGGTCATTCTAAACTTCTTCATGGTAATAAAGGTGTTAATGTCTCATAAGTCCAAAACCAATCTCAGCCTTCCATCCTTTTTCAGAACCATAAAATAACAGCACTAGAAACAGCTGCAGTGACCACGGCTGGCTGGCTGGCTGGCTTCTTTCACTTCCATACCACCCCACAGGCAAAGCTCTCTGGGCAGTTTACAACAATCATCACCAAGACTACAAAATGCAATAAAGTATAAATATCGCACTGAGGGGGAAGATGACGAATGGCACCCTTCAACCAGGAGGAGTCAATTTCTGATTGCCTGGCAGACGAGGGGGCTGTGGGGATAATGCCTGAAAACGTGAGGACATCAGGTGCAGTCCAGCAGCTCTTCTGACCCCCAGAGAGAACCCGGGCATCCAGGGTAACTCAAGCCCACCCTGCGGGGGAAGGAGACGGTCCAGTCTAAAACCAAGCTGGTTTAATTGCTGTGAGAAATCTGCCAGGCAGGTAGGAGACCACCAGCCCCAGCTGTGCAGACCTCATCCCAACGACGGGGTGCGTAGGGAGCCTTCCGCTGCAGCTGAGGGGGCTACTTCGGCCTCCTCTCGCCCTCCCTCCCCCCGCAGAAGGACTTAGGCTCGTACTGCCAGCCGCTGGAACACGGGAAAGCACGTTCTGGCTTGTCAGGATAAGCTTGACCTTCTGTGCAGAATCACAATGGCACTCAGGCAGCTGCT